ATTTTGAATTTTAAATTTTGAATTAATTGATTATTTATTTGAATTAATAAATATAAATATTTTATAATTATTTATAATAAAAAACGAAAGTATATATATATAAAAAAATTACGCGTTCAAATTATGGAGTACATTCAAGTTGAAATTTAAAAAAAAATTAAAATATAAAAAAAAAAATTCAAATTGAATGGATAGTATTCTTCCTAATATCTATCTATAATTAAAAGTAGAAGAAAAAATAATCTTATTAAACCAAGTGGCATAACTACAAAAAGCCAAGTGACATTATTAAAGATAAAATAAAGTAGCTTTCTAACAAAAGAATGTATGAAAAGAGGGAGATAAAGATAAGTTTATGATATTTATATTTTGAACTAACTAAAATTAAAAGATAAATAAATAACACTCAAAAAAAATATATATCTATGTTATATTAAAAGAGAAGTAGTATCAAAATATTAAGCCAATTGACAAGTTAATAAAAGTCACTTTAGTAAATGTATAATATTAACTATTTGCTAATTTGACAATAAGAATAAATAAGGAACAAATAATCTATTTATTACTATATGATATGTATTCTTTGAGTTTGTATAAATTTTGTTATATTTTTGTACACAATAATAATAAAATATAACTAATATTTATTAAAATAATATAATATATTAGATCACAACTTTATAAGATTAATATTCTGTTAAATTATCCGTGCATCGTGCTTGGTACTAACATTAATTTTCTTAAAAGAAATTGTTTAATTGGCAGATAGATATTTATGTCTGACCGTTTTGCTGTTAGCCAGATTTGTGACAGAAAAAGAAGGGAAATGACAGTGTTTCTTGTTCCCCTCCCCTGATAGTAGGATTATTATGTACCAAATACAGTACTACTATATATACTCTATGTTTAGACCCCTACTTACACTATTTTTCTGACTACTACCTGCATACCGTCCTCTACTTCCTCTCATTTCATGTAATATAGTATAGGTTAAAAACATAACGAGTTATTTTCTCCTTAAAATATGCCCTTCTCCTATTAGGGATCGTTTGGGATAAAGATAGTAATCCTGTGATAAATTTTGAAATGTATTTATCCTAAGTTTGATTATAGATAGCTACTTTTAAAATAAAGGACAGCCTGTTACACAAGGTATCTTGCGTCCACGCTGTGTTCGGAGAAGGGACGCATCCATAAGGGTGTGATATAGATAGTCTACCCTAATGCAAACACTTATTTCTATGGCTCGAACTCGTGACCTATATGTCTCACGAAGACAACTTTACCATTGTTCCAACGCTCGAAATAATGTTTACACTAAAATAATAGAATTAACTATCACATATAGAAGGTGAATCCTGGTTTATCTCACTATTGTGCCAAACGATCAATCCTTTATACCTAGTATTATTTTGTTATTAAAATATAACTTAAGCATCTTCCATTTTCTGCACATATATCTTTTTTTTTCTTTTTTTTTCCTTCTAAAATCTGACTAACTTAGTTTTTGTTTATTTTGTTTTTCTATTTAGTTAATATAAAAGAAAACGAGAATAAAACAAAATTGTTGATGTGCTGCTTTTGTTTACACTATGTACGTGGATTTTCTCTTCTTTCTTTTTCCTTAACGTTTAATTTATATATATTGTTAGTATAAAACAATTATATTATTAAATAGTTTTAATTATTATAGAAAGTAGCCTGCTTTTATTTTCAAAAAAAAATAATTATGAAGATTAAAAGTACTTTCGAACCGTGTTAGATAGTCATCACACGGCTCTTAATCCAACCTGTGGTGGATCGAGAAACGACTTGTATATATCCCAGGAATGATTAGATAGTATGAAAATTTTTACTCATTGTTTCAATTTAGGTTAACTCACTTAACTGACACGAAATTTAATAAAAGAGAAAAAAAATTTAAATTTATTGTGTAAAATAAGGTAAATATATTTTATGTGGGTATAAATTATTGCATGTAAATTATTTTCAAATAAGGAAAATGATCATTTTTTTAGTACAAAATAAAAAGAAAATAAGTTTACATAAATTAAAACGTGAGAAGTATATTATATTATACTAATGTATATCAGTATATGTAGGAGTTGCGGCCACACACATGGCTATTAACATGCAAAAAGGCTTTTTTCCATGTCTCTCCAAATGGCCATCACGTGAAGCCATCGTTTTGGATATGTTAGGGAAACCTAAACTTGCACTTATTTGTGCATTTATTAATGTACAAACGATTGAGTTAAGGTGTTAAAATAAAAATATAATAAGTAAATTTATACTGAAGGATAATAAACGAGTGCGAGTTTAGATTCCCCTTCAACTTATGTGAATATATTAATTGAGTTTGTAAGTTGTCATACATTTATATAGTTATGAAATTGATGATTTTACATATATTATAGTAATATTATAGAAGTTTACCATTAAGAATAAAATTAATAAATTTAGGTTAAATTATTTTTAAATTTATTTCTTTTTAAGACCGATTAAAATAATAAATTTGTATAAATTAAAACTAAGAAATATGGGATTTTTTTGTAGGATGTATTAGGAAAAATATTACATATGTATTAGCTTTTGTGTTATTAATCCCTTGTTTGGTAATTTTGCTTAACTTGTATTAGTTATATACCGTATTCAGTACTATTTATATATATATATATATATATATATATATATATATATATATATATATATATATATATATGTTT